ACATCATGTCCAAGCTGTTGAGTACCTGACTAAGACAACACCTGGACAACACAATCACTGGATTGAGCTAAATATTGATATTCAGATAAAATTTAGGAGAAGCCTTTCAAACAGACTAATCCTTTCAAAATTGGTTCTAATTATGAACGTAATTTTCGATGAAGGAAGAGTTTCATTGTTTTATAAATAATTTTATTATACGAAAAAAATTGGTGGAAAAATTTCTAAAAAGAATTTTCTTTATATTTTATTCATTTTTTTAGCAATAATTTTCAACTTATTTTGTATTTTTGATGATAAAAAATCCTAAAGTATCTTATTTCATATTGAGTTTAAGTATTTTGTTTCATTTTTTAAAACACTATTTCTTTAGCGATTTTGACGACAGAAACTTGGGGATTGAATTGAAAGATCGATTCAAAATGTTAGTAGAATTTGGGTCATTGTGTACGTAAGTGAAATATAGCGAAACAGACAGACAGAGATAAATAGACATACATAGAGAGAGAGAGAGAGAGAGAGAGAGAGAGAGAGGTGGGAGGGCTGTGACCGTTTTATAGATGCACCTCGCTTAAATTGATTTTTTAAATCAAGATTTTGTTTCTGTTATGAAATTACTGTTAGTGTTCGATTCTTTCCACTGTCGCCTTGAATTGTATGTAGGCCTATGTTGTATAACTCCGTCTAAGTGACAGAGTCAATAGCCCAGTTCACGGTTAGCACATTTCCCAAAATGACCCCAAATATCCACAGATCTTTCAAACATGAAGAAGTCCAACGGTTTTCATTTTGGACTAATCTCTTTTACAACGATGGAGGTGCTACATAAATAGCCTTTGTTTCGCAGAAAATCTTGATTATAAATCGATTTTAGCAAAGTGCATCTAGAAAACGGTCATATCCCTCCCGCCTCTCTCTCTCTCTCTCTCTCTCTCTCTCCCTCTCCCTCTCTTTCTGTCTATGTATCTCTGTCTGTCTGTTTCTCAATGTTTCACTCACCTACACAATGGCCCTAATTCTACTGATATTTTGAACTCGCCGCTAGGCATTGGATTCTGTTCAAAAGCGGGTTTAAGTAAGGAAATAAGTCTAACGTCTAGGGCTTACCTTGCTGTACACAATAATCTTAGACACAGGGTCGGGTTTAACTGAGTTAGCAGAAAACGGACCAATTTTATTATCTTAAATTAATTTGTTCTTGTAGTATTTAAGACTGTTTTTATGTATTATGTGTTTAAGATAACATAACTTAACAAGATAAGTAACACGACAAAACAATCGTAATTCTATAGGTGAACTTCAATGGAAGGTTATACATATACACATTTTAATAAATAAGAATTTATTGAATCGATCTTTCAATTCAATCCCTAAGTTTCTGTTGCCGAAATCGCTTACGAAATAGTGTTAAAAAAATATAGAAACAAAATACTCAATATGAATTAAGATTTTTTTTTCTTTTTTTGGTATAATAAAACAAATAAAATTGAAAAACATTGTAAAATATGAACAAAATATATATGTTTTTTAAATTTGTGAGATCTTTCCACCAGTCTTTTTTGTAAAATAATATTATATAAATAAAAGTACGTTGTATATGTTTACGACTCGCAGCGCCAATAAAGTAGTCAACATTTTGGAAAGGGTGAGCCTGTTTGATCGGCTTGCCTTTAAGTTTTTCCTTATCGTTATTTAATGTAGGTCAGTGCTAGTGGAGCCTTTTGACAAGGCCTCGTGACTCTGGCTATTTTTCACCCCAATCAGCGGCTGAGATGAATCTAGAGACCCGTGGTGAACGCTACTCGCTCTGTCGTTCACTCGGGTTTTCGCGATTAGTCTCTTTTTAGTCGCTCGGCGTCTGTCAGACATGTGGCCTTGTTTAAAGGCTAGTGCTAGTGTTGTCTTTGTTCGAGTATTCAAAGCTGGGTCACGTTGCCTATTGATGTTCTAATGGAAACACTACCAAATATATACTTCAGTTTCCCATGTCAGACATCAATCATTAACATAGTCATTTGTTTTTCAATTCGATAAAGGGAGGAAAAGAAATCGAAAAATCTAGTTCCTCTTTTTTAAAGTTAATTTACACCTGTATCTGTTACACAAAAGATGAAAATGGATGCAAAAATAAATCCGAACAGTCTTCGGGGAGATGTATTTCGTATTAAGCGTTGTATAAATCCAGATGACTATTATTATCACCCCAGGGGGGTGTTTCACAAAACTTGTCATCAGTGACAAATGACAGTTGTTGTTATAAGCTACTGAAATCCTTGCTTCTGATTGGTTATCAGCAGATTTGTCACTGATATTTGTCATTTATCATTGTAAAAAGGCTTTGTGAAAAGAGTCCCAGCCATAATGACCATCACCACCAATCTCATGTTATCACCGGGCATAGTCTCATAAGCCATCATCACATCCTCTTTGTATGCAGAGTAAGTAATAATTATGAGTATTTTTTTTCATTTTTTTTCCATAGCTTTTTATTCATTTCTCT